CGCTCCTCTCTTTCCACACGTACTGGAGCGAAGCTAAGCAGCGAGCACAAACAAATACGTAATGCCCACTCTAATTTAGGACTCACTCCTACATCTCCCCTTTAGGACGTGGGATATTTTTTTCTAGAAAAATGTGCAATGTAAACTATCTCTTCGATAGTATCGTAAAGAAATCCTCAGAAAAACATACATAGTAGTTTTTTTAAAAAAAAACAATGCACATCTATATAGTACATCTATAGATTACATTGTCAAAAAAAAAATTAAGATTCAAGCTTATTACTTTCTACTGTTCATGGGTTCACTGAAATTAAAATGAGTAAAACTACAAGCTAGCTGTAGGTAAGAATGAAACAAAACATCACAGTAATGTGGCGAACACAAATAGTATGACATCACTCATGCTGTGGACAGCCTAATAAGAGTGCAAATAGCCGAAGAAGACCCAACCATTTCCTCTGCAGCCGCCCACCTCGGATCGGCCGTCGGCGACACGTGCTACCTATGCGACGCCTGAGAGCGAGTCTTCCTCTTCAGCTCTTCCGAGACCATCGATAACCAGCCACGCTTCTCCCATGAGATGCCACGAAACCCTTCTGAAACCTGCGTGCTCAGTCTCGCGTCTTGTCTAATCCACCGGCTAGGGCCTGTTCGGCTGGTATTAAAGCCGGCTGATAAGTCGGTCTTGGCTGATTTATTGTGAGAGAAAAATACTGTAGATTTTAGCTGATAAGCCGGCCGATAAGTTTAAGCGGAATACGTACTTGTTTATATCTATGGCCAAGTCAGGAAAAAAAAACATTTCGGACTTCGGAGTCAAGGGGGCAAAGGAGGTGCTCTTGGTAATAATTAACCTAGCTACACCCTGCAAGTCTGCAACAAAAACGAAACGTGTGGTGCCCTTGCGCATTTTGCGTGCACCGACGTGTGCAGGCAAACATAGAGTAAACTGTACACTGGCCTCAGAGGGTGTGGATCTTCCAGCTACTAGCTAGTATGGATTACTCCCTTCTTTCTTCGAAAAAAAATATTAATTTTTAGAGCTTGTGTAGGCCTGCTTGGCTTCACTCTTTTAGCTGTATTTTCAACTTCGCTAGTCAAATGGAGACAACTCTACAAAATCTGCTCCAAAAAATATAGAGTTGAGGACCAACTCTAAATGTTTTGTAAATAACCTAAAGTTGTACTGTAGAAACTCCATCATTTTTTATAGAGCTACACTTCTACAAATTTGGACATCACTATCGGCCTCATCACTGCCAGATTTGTGAGAACAGGCGGTGATGTACCTTTACTGTCGGTTATGAACTTGAAAATGAGAAAATGATTGAGGCTGGGCTAAAACCGACAGTGAAGGACCACATCACTGCCGGTTTGTGGCTTGAACCGACAGTGTTTTGGCGGCCACTTATCACTGTCGGTTCAAGCAAAGAGCCGACAGTAATTGGGATCTATCACTGTCGGTTCTAGGTAAGAACCGACGGTGATAAATCTATAGCACAAAAAGGCTGCAGCCGTCCTCTTCTTCCTCCACTCTTTCATCCCGAGAACAGAGACGTGCGTTTGGGCCCTTCCCTCCATTGTTGCGGCTGCTCTTCACCATGAAGCTAGCGCTTGGATTTTGAAGAATGGCTTGATCTTTTTGCTGTAAGGTTAGTAACAAACATCCACTCCTTTGATTTTGTTGCTTAATTAGCTTCGTTTTGATGGCTATATCGCTTGATTCTCATTATAGTTCTTTCTCCATTTTAGAGAGCACTTTTCCAATTGGACATTTGTGCAAGGCTCAAATTATGGTGAATCCATCATCCAAAAGGTTGGTGCTATGAACACATTTAAATTCCTAGCTAATTATTCCATGGTGGTCAAGATCATCGTTGTTAGTATGTGATGCTATAATTAGTTCTTAGAAGTAGAGTAGAATAGTTGTTCTTCATTATTGTGAAATAATAGTTGTTTACTACGATTTTCAATTTATAGGGTCGGGGCTACCAATTTCAATTTTTCAATAATTAATATACAATAATATTTTTCAAAAATGGTACTTTCGACCTATAATTGTTGTTCATGAAGCTCGATTTCTTATAAATTCTTTGTAATTACTGTCTCAGTATTTTTTTTGCAGAGAAGGATCGAGAGTGGATGCATCTGTCCCGAACGGGCAAGCGGTACATGCATGGCGCCAGCCAGTTTATCACTGATGCCAAAGCCCATGCTGGAAATGGGAACCCTGTCTTCTGCTAATGCAAAGATTGCAAGAATCAAAGAAACTTTCGTCAAATTGAGTCTATACGATCACACTTGATTACCAGGGGGTTCATCCTAAACTATACGATATGGCGAGGTTGGTGTGAATGTTCTATACGATCGCACTTGATTACCAGGGGGTAAAAACGATGATGATGTGAACATGCATAATGTAGTCATCTACTGACGAGAAACCCGGTGTCAACACGGAACCTATGGCCACAGTTAATAATGTGTTTAGGAACATGCTAGCTAACGACACCGATGATAACGATGGCATTTCTCAGCTGCTACATAATGTAGAGAACGAATGTCTTAGTGAAAGACATCTGAGAAAGTTAGAGAAAATAAGACAAGATGGCAAAACACCATCATATAGGAATTGTTCAATGAGCAAACTGGAAGCCGACATCATGCTGTTAAAGTTTAAATCGACAAATGGATTAAGCGATAAAGGCTTCGATCAGTTGTTAGATATAATAAGGAAAATGCCCCTTGAAAAAAATAAGTTGCCAGAAAAGACATATTTGGCCAAGCAAATGATCTACCCCATCAGCCTCGAGGTTGAAAAAATCCACGCGCGTTCCAATGATTGCATATTGTACCGTGGAGAAAAATACAAAGACTTGGACAAGTGCCCCAAGTGTGAAGCTCCACGGTATAAGGAAGGGTCATCAGATGAGGGTACCAAGGCCAGAGGAGATCCCATAAAGGTCGTTTGGTATTTCCCTATAACTCCCTGGGTGAATAGGCTGTTTGCATGTACAAAGTCAGCCAAGCTGTTGCGCTGGCATGACGAAGAGCGTAAGAAAGATACAATGATGAGGCACCCTATCGATAGGCATGACTGGAGGACTGTCAATACTATATTTTATAAGGACATCGGTGGAGAGGTAAGGCACCTTTGGTTTGCTTTGAGCATAGATGGGATGAATCCTTTTGACTAGGTTAGAAGCAATCATAGCACCTGGCCAGTGACGCTCTGTATGTACAACCTTCCACCTTGGGTCTGTATGAAGCTGTCGTACATCCAGATGCCACTACTGATCCAAGGGCCAAGACAACCTGAGAATGACATCGATGTGTTTCTAAAACCAATGATCGATGAACTAGTGGAGATATTTGAAAAGGGTGTGACGGATGTTTGGAACGAGTACAAAAAGGAACATGTCACGATCAAGGGAGTACTTATCGCTACAATCACCGTCCTGCCAGGTCGAGGTTCGTTGTCCGGAGAGAAGACAAAAGACTATACTGGATGTGTCGAGTGCTTGGACGACACCGATGTGGTAAATCTGCCAAATAACTCAAAGATAGTTTATATGGGACACCGTAGGTTCCTACCTAAGGATCACCCTTACCGCAGGAACATAAAAGATTTCAACGGTATTATTGAGAAACGCTTAGCTCTAAAATATTGAGAAACACTTAGCTGACAATTAGCGAGAGAACGGCCAACGAGATTGAATAGCGTTGAGAGGGGAACGTTATGCATGTTCCATAGGCTCATAACAATTTCACATCATGATCCATTACAAATAGGCCTAACCAAACGGTAAACAGTGGAATTAGATCACACCATTAACTGATAAGGTCCAAAAAGCCTCCACCAAACAACACCTTAGGGCCTGTTTGAATCACATCATGATCATAAATCAATTTTTTGTTAAGGCGATACTATATAAAAGAATATACTAGCATCTATATTTTAATGTTATATCTAATTATACTAATTTTGTATCATAAATGTTTATCATTTTATAATAGACTTTAGTTAAACCTAAAAATTTGACTTAGTATAACTCGATAAGTTGATTTATTCGGAGACAATGGAATAGCTTGATAGAACTTGTAGAGTGAACGACTCATGTATACATGGGCTTACGACTTACCTACAGGCTAGAGCTTAGCAAGACAATTTAATTGTTGAGACATATGATTTGTTTGGCAGCATGAATTGATTCTAATTCTAGCAAAAATAGCTATAATCACTGTCAACACAAGTCAGAAGAGAAATATTTCTCTTGAGAATCATTAGAATCATTTATCGTTTTTATGTCTACCAGGGAGAAACGACCGCTAGCTAATTTCGCATGCTGTTTCTTGCCGGCCTCAACCGTATTTTTTAATTAATCCTTTTTAAGTGCAACAAGTTAAAATGAGTTGTATTTAGGTTGTTCTTAGCCCATAAAAACTTCTGAACTATTTTGAAGATTTTTTTCATTTACATTTTTATGAAAATATACTTTTTGCGAATAAAAATCTAGTATATTTTAACGAAACTAAAATATATAAATGGACATAGCTGAGGCCCACATGATTGTCTATAGTTACTGGTAAGGTAAAGATAGAGCAAACTAGAGGGGAGTACTTGCCTTATGGTCGTATAAATCTATGTACTGAATTTTAACGGAACTAATAATTTCTGCATTTTTTTAGAGGTGCATTTGCAAGCTCTAAATAGAAATTACGTTGGGCCCTGCCTGGAAGGAGGGAGTACTGGCTTGATTTTTTTTGTACCGTGTTAAAAATAAAAAGGATACTTCCAAGCATTTTGTCGGCAGAGATGAGAGATCTCGACTCTCGAGTACCATATGATACACAGTACTGTACGAGGCTACGAGCTAAAATAGCAGTCCCCTTATTCAAATCTATAAACACGATACAGTCGAGGCCCAAATAGGCTCAGTTCCTTTACCTCTCATCTCGCCGCTTGTGAATTGTGATCAATCGTTGCGCGCGTGCGCAGCAGGCTAGTCGAACGGCAGCACCCGCACGCTGTCGTTGAGCGGGGCGGCGTGGCGGAACCCGTACGCGCGGAGCACCTGGTCGTCCGCGAACGCCAGCGCGCGGCGCATCCCGTCGTCGCAGCTCTCCCTGGAGTACATCGGGTTCCGACCGCCGCTGCAGGGCTGGCAGCCCACGAAGTGCGTGATGAGCGGCCGCCGCCACCCCTTCTCCCCGCCACCGGCGGGCCCCGGGACGACGCCACTCACGGCCGCGTTCCGGGCCGCCGCGTATTGCTGGTGCTCCCGCTCCGCGTGCCGCCGCCGGAGGCCCGGCGTGGGCGTGCGCCGCTCGACAGCCTCGTACCGCACAGCGACGCCGTCGAGGAGGTCCACGACCTCCCACTACCGGAAACAGTGACTTTGCCGTGTGCCACATGCACCCGGCAAAGATCAAAAACCACTCGGCAAAGGCTTTGCCGAGTGTAGCACTCGGTAAACAGCACATGGTATCTACAGTGTCGGCAAATAGATATTTGCCGAGTATTTTTTATTGCGCACTTGGCAAATGGTTTGCCGAATGTCAAATTTGACACTCGGCAAAACAAGTGGTTTGCCGAGTGTTTTTACAAAATACACTCGGCAAAGGATTATGGTTTGCCGAGTGTTTTTGGGAATTACACTCGGCAAACCTATTTTTCAAAGAAAAAATAATAATTTTTTTCTCCGCATACCATTATTGTTTGCCAAGTGTTTTTAAGAATTACGCTCGGCAAACCTATTTTTTAAAGAAAAAATAATAATTTTTTTCTCAGCATATTTCAGTTTAATAGCTGCCATACAAAACACTCCTGGTACAACAGAATTACAACTGAAAGTGTGTGGAGCAGCTGCAGCTAAATAAACACAAAAAAACTCTGCCAATCTCGTTATCACTATAATCTGAAACTCCAGTCCAGATGTAGTGTTTGGCATGTGGAGATCCCTCCTGAAACTGAAACTTAGAGAAGGATCTTGGTACACAACAAAATAACTTGCAACTAACTCAGACGCTCTGTTCTAGAGCAAGAAATTGTTTCAATACTAAAAGGTAAAGGTGAATTCTGCAAGCTTTAAACTTTCTAATTAAACTCCTACAGAAAATATCATATCACTCTATCCAAATTAAACTTTCTAATAAAAATCCAATCCAAGAATGAGCTTGTTGCGAAGTCACTTGTTGTTATACTTCACCCAAAAACGTTGCAGCAGGGAAGACGAACGGAGTCTCTGTGCTACAGCTACCAAGCCAAAAACGAATTGCGTGAGGACCGAAGGAGACTACTTCAGGGTCCAGGGAGGACACGGTAAGGGCGCGTTGGCGGCGGGCGGCTCCTGCCTTCACCCAGAGACTACTTATTTTTATCCGGCGCTCCTGCCTTCCCGCTTCAGCGCCTCCTCCTCTCCTGCTTGCGGCTCCAGGTGCCGCCGATGGGGAAGGAAAAGGGGACGCTGCCTGCAATCGAATTGATGAATCATATCAAGAAGCAGAAAGAGAAGGGGAAGGAGAAAGAGATGACGCGAAGTCCCAACCCGCCCCAACCCCGCCACCACGCCAAGATGCCCCCATCCGCGCCTTTGCCTGCGCTGCCCCATCCGCTTGCCATGGCCTGCGCTTTGCTGCAGCTGCTTGTCATGGGAGGGGCGTGCGGAGGAGGGAGGGAGGCTCAGCTGATCTAGGGAGGAGGTTGGGGAGGAGGGAGGGAGTTGGCAGGCGGGATCTAGGAGGGGAGGAGGGCCGCGGGAGGGAGGGAGGAGGGGGAGGGAGGGGGGCGGGGCAGCCGCGCCGGAGAGGGAGGAGGGGAGGGGCGCACCGACGCCGGAAAGGGAGGAGGGGAGGGAGGGAGGGGGCGGCGGTCGGGGAAGGAGGGGGTGGCGCCGGCGGGAGGAGGGGAGGGGTGCGGAGGCAGCTGGGAGAGGGGAGCAGGGCAGGGAGAGGGGAGCAGGGGCAGGGAGAGGGGAGCGGGGGCAGGGAAGGAGGGGTGTGCGTGCGTGTTAAGTGTGCGGCGGGCGGGGGCTTTGCCGAGTGTCCTAGATCTAACACTCGGCAAAACAGTGTTTGCCGAGTGTCCTACATCTAACACTTGGCAAATGATTTTTTTTATTATTTATTTATTTTTCTCTTTTCATGAAGGGACACGTGGCGCGATGTTTGCCGAGTGCCGTAATTTACTGAGTGTTTTTCCATATTTGCCGAGTGCCGGAGTTTACCGAGTGTTTTTCAGTAGAATTGCCAAGTGTCAGAATGTTTGCCGAGTGTTTTCTAGTAAGGCACTCGGCAAACAGAGAGTTTGTCAAGTGTCAGAATATTTGCCGAGTGTTTTTAGTTTGGCACTCGACAAAGAATATAACACTCGGCGAAGCCTTCGATTCCGGTAGTGTCCTTCCAATCAGTGGCGGATCTGCCGGGGGGGGGGCTGCCGGGGCTCAAGCCCCCCCCCTACCCTGGGCACGCCATTGGAGCCCCCCTGAGCCCCTCCATAAAAATTTCAGCCATTAGCCACTAGGAAGGAGGGGCTGGAGACGTTCCCGTCGTGGACGGAGGTTGAAGACGAGTTGGTCTGCTTCCTGGGCCGGAATGTGTGGCCCACTAATGAAGCCTGTTCACGGCCCATGAAGAAGACAGACATTTTTCCTTCGTTTCTCTTCTCATTCTGTCGGTCACGGGAGCAGAGGCACTCAACTCGAGCGACTGGGCCGGCGAGTGGGCGACTAGGCCAGCGGCGGCGGCTCCAGCTAGGGTTGGCTGGCTCCTACCCAACGGCCGACGGAGGCGCCGCTGCGCCGGGATCCCGGAGGCAGCAGGCAGCAGCGGCCGTGCCCACGCAGCCGCACATCGCAGGCTCGCAGCAGGCCAGCAGCCAGCATGGGCGCAGCGCGCAGGGCTGTCGGCTAGGGGCGATGCCGACGCGGCGGTGACTCCGAGTGCAATTGCCTGCTGGCTTCGCTGAAATTTGGGGTTCCTGCAAAGGCTGCAAGCCTGCAAGGCTGCAACGAATTGGGCTTACCATGTCAGGTGTCAGTTAGCCCTTTCGCTTTCGGTGATGCGTGCAATTTAATTTCTTCTGCCGTAGTTTTCATGTGAGCCTAGGCTTTTTAGCATTCCTTTTTATTCTAGCTAGCTAGGACTGCTTTTATTCCTCCATTTTGCCTTCGCTGAAATTTGGGGCACTGGGCGGCAGCAGGCACTGGGCGACGCGGCAGCAGGCACTGGGCGGCAGGCGGCAGCACCAGCAGGGCAGCAGCCAGCAGGTATACTCTTTTTCTTTAGATTTGCCTTTTGAACTTTGTAATCGTTCAAAATTTGATTAGGATTTAATAAATTGCAGATTATTCAAAATGTCCAAAAGAACATTGCACACATATTTTCTGGTACAAGTAGTACATCAACTCTGAGCAGTAATGACAGCATAAATCAACCAATTCGGCGTAAAGTGGAGTTTAGTCAATCCGATGTAGTTGGTGATCCAGGAAATCGCATACCAATTGAAGAATATCCACCAGAAATTAGAGACCAAGTTAGAAGGGCATATGCTTTGAGATGTCCGACCCAACCTCGTAATCTTACCTTTGCTCGTAAATGGCAAAATGGTCAATGGAGATCATTTCAGCAAACTTGGTTTGACGAGTTTGATTGGCTAGAGTATAGTGAGTCGAAGGATGCAGCTTATTGCTTATATTGTTATCTTTTCTTTGATCCGGGGAAGCCTGAAAAATTTGGTAGTTCTGTCTTTTCAAAGGATGGTTATACTAACTGGAAAAAAGCTAAGGACAATTTTAATCAGCACGGTACTTGCAAGACTCACAATAATGCTAGACTAAAGTGTGATGACTTTATGAACCAAAGAACAAATGTGGCTAGAAAAATTGGTGTAATTAGCAAGGAGGAAGAGAAAAGATATGAGATTCGCTTGAACTCTTCTTTAGATGTAGCAAGATTTCTCATAATGCAAGGTGATGCTTTTCGTGGACATGATGAGTCCTCTACTTCCAACAACAAGGGTACATATAGAGAGATGGTTGATTGGTACAAAGATAAAGTTGAGATTGTTAAGGATGCATACGATAAAGGTGCAAAAAATTGCACAATGATATCTCATCATATACAGAACGACCTTACAAAAGCTTGTGCACAAGAAGTCATGTCAGTGATTATGGATGAGATTGGAGATAAAAAATTCTCTGTATTGATTGATGAGTCCCGAGATGTATCAATAAAAGAACAGATGGCTATAATTTTAAGGTTAGTAGATGACAACTCTATTTTTTTACCTTAACTTTTACGTGTACACTTGTACTAACATGAAATAAAATATGGTTTGCAGGTTTGTGAATGATGAAGGGAAGGTGATGGAGAGGCTCCTTGGACTTCGGCATGTTGAGAGTTGTACAGCTGCTTCATTGAAAGAAGCTCTGGTTAAAATGCTTAACAGTCATAAGCTACCAATCTCTAGGCTTCATGGGCAAGGTTATGATAGAGCTTCCAATATGAGAGGTGAATTTAATGGTGTGCAAAAATTGATTCGAGATGAAAATCCTTATGCATTCTATGTGCATTGTTTTGCCCATCAATTGCAATTAGTGGTTGTTACTGTTGCAACTTCTACTCCAGCCATTGCAGATTTCTTTAACTATGTTCCTCTAATAGTCAACACTGTCGGCGCATCATGTATGAGAAAGGATGCCTTGCTTGCAAAGCATCATGATGTGCTGTTAGAAAAGTTGGAGAGTGGGGAGATTATCACTGGAAAAGGTTTGAACCAGGAATGTAGCCTAGCAAGGCTTGGAGATACTAGATGGGGTTCACATCTTAAAACTTTACTTCGTATTTTGGTGATGTGGAAAGCTATCATAGATATTCTTGAGATAGTAAAGAAAGACTCTGTTAAACTAGGAAATAATGGTGGAGCATTTGGTTTAATTGGTAAAATGGAGAGGTTTGATTTTGTGTTCATAATGCATTTAATGATAGAATTGTTGAGCATCACAGACAGTCTGTCACATGCTTTGCAAAGAAAGGATCAAGACATTGTTGAGGCAATGAAATTGATCATAGATGTCAAAGAGCAGTTGCAGGATATGAGGGACAATGGATGGGATCCCTTATTCAAAAGAGTGAAAACATTCTGTGATAAGAATGAGATTGAAGTGCCAGATATGGACAAGGAAATAAATGCTAGAGGGACATCTACACGTAGAAAGCAAAAGGTAACAAATATGCGCTTCTACCATGTTGAGATTTTCCTTGCTGCCATAGATGCCATTTTGTCTAAGATGAATCATCGATTTGGTGAAGTTAGTTCAGAATTATTAGTATGCATGGCTTGTCTTAACCCAAGGAACTCCTTCTCTAATTTTGATATGGATAAGCTTGTGAGACTTGCTAAAATTTATGCTGCGGATTTTGACGTCGGTGACCTTCTTCTTTTGCCTGGTCAACTGAGAGGATTTGTCAGTCGTGCTAGAAGAACTCAAGACTTTCTTGGATGTACAGAGCTTGGAAAGGTTGTTGAAATTATGGTCAAGACTAAAATGAACACATCTTATGGATTGGTGTATCGGCTCATTGAATTAACATCAATTCTTCGAGTGGCAACAACTTCAGTTGAGAGGATATTTTCTGCTATGTCTATTGTAAAGACAGATTTGCGTAACAAAATGGGTGATGAATGACTCAATGACTTAATGATATGTTACACTAAGAAGAAGATATTTAGAAGCATCAAGAATGACAAAATCATAAAACGATTTGAAGACATGAAAACCCGGCATATGTTAGTGCCTCGGAACAATTTAGTGGTATGATATATGTTCTCTTCTACCTTCAAAACTTTGAAGTTAAATACTTGAAATTTGTGTCACTAATTTATTTTTTTCTTGTATAGATTGCTTCTAATGATTCATGAAGAATACAGCAGCATGAATGCGTCATCATCTATTGATCTTTTGTTGGTTAGTTCTAAAAATTGTATCTTTTACTTCTTCTTATGCGTTTTATAATGCACTTTCGATTGTTTATCATAGTTATCATGTAAAAGGTTTAAAACTGCTATATCTTAGCTTTGTATGGGATATAATTGAGTGAAGTTGGTCTAGCTCTTTTTGGCCCAGCCCCTCATAAATATTTTTTTCTAGATCCGCCACTGCTTCCAGTAGCCCTGGAAGAAGTACTCCATCTCGATGAAGGTCTTCTTCCCTAGCCTCACCCAGCCGTTGAGGAGCAGGTAGACAAGCGCGGACTGGTCGCATGCCACGTCGGAGTCCTTGTCGCTTAGCGTGTCTGTCGATGAAATATGGTCGGTAGTCCACCGAGGGGGGTGCCCGTGGTGGTAGATTATCGGTAGGATGCGTGTAATCAGGAACCGAATGGTGACACAAGGTGCAGAGACAACGATTTAGACAGGTTCGGGCCGTCTGATCGACGTAATACCCTACGTCCTGTGTCTTTGGTGTATTGTATTGATGTGTATGATCTAGATGGATTGTCCCCTGAGGGGACCCTTGTCTCTCCTTATATACTCCGAAGAGACAAGGTTACAAGTAAAGTATCCAATTTGGTACTATTACAATATCTAGTACAACTTGTAATCTTGATGTGCACGCCTTGATCTTACGGGCCGGGCCACCTCGGATGGTGTGGCCCATGTACCATCTTGTGGTACCTGGGGGTATATCCCCCACAGCTAATCCCCGAGCGCCATGTATTCTGATGCGACACGCCATTTTAACCTTCTTCGAGCAGTGAGGCTTGAGTTCTTGACGTCTCTGACCACCGTTGTCGTCGGAGAAGTAGGTTGTCCGAAGAATGTATGGTGCTCTTAACAAGAAAGAAAAAGATTTTTGTCCTGGGAAGTGTGCCCACTTGTATTTCTGAAAAGAAATGTAAGTGTGTCTTGAAGCGTAGCGTCTTTGATCGTCAGAGGCGTAGTGGTCGAAAAACAAGCACATTCACCGCAAGGTGAAGTGTGCCCACTTAGTCCCCGAGCCTGGTAGTAGGTGACGTATGCACGTGGTGCCAGGGTCTAAAAAAAATTCCCAGTTAAGTTGAGAATCCAATCGTCGTACAGGCGATACGAGATGCACCGGCAAGTGCATCGTACCGATGTAGTCCCCGAGCTTGCTGGAAGGCGAGATATGAGCCTTGTAGCAAGGTCTAAGTGAGAAAAAAATATCCCAACTGTATGCGAGTCGCCAGTTGCATGTAGTCGAGACGCAAAGTCCCCGAGCCGTGGTCGGAGAGTGGTCGAGGCGATCCCGAGCACACAGTCGAGGAGCGAAGCGACGAAGTCCCCGAGCATGGTCGGAGAGTGTGGTCGCAGTCCCGAGAGGCACAGTCGAGGCGAGCGATGAAGTCCCCGAGCCGTGGTCGGAGAGTGGTCGAGGCAGTCCCCGAGCACAGGTCGAGGAGCGAGCGACGAAGTCCCCGAGCCATGGTCGGAGAGTGGTCGAGGCAGTCCCCAAGCACAGGTCGTGGAGCGAGCGACGAAGTCCCCGAGCCGTGGTTGGAGAGTGGTCAGGTAGTCCCCAAGCACAGGTGCAGTCCCCGAGCATAGGTCGAGAAGCGAGCGACGAAGTCCCGAGCTGTGGTCGGAGAGTGGTCGATGCAGTCCCCGAACACAGGTTGAGGAGCGAGCGACGAAGTCCCCGAGCCGTGGTCGGGGACTGGTCGAGGCAGTCCCCGAGCACAGGTCGAGGAGCGAGCGACGAAGTCCCCGAGCATAGCTCGAAATTACTGCAATATAAATATGTAGAATGGTAGTACATGATGTACAAAGTAATAAATTATGGAGAAAATGACACTCAGCAGTCATTTGCAAATGAGCATGATGTGATAAAGCAGTTGGTGCTTTGTAAACATCACTGTTAAA